CGTAAAACGCGCGAAGAGTATTCTTTGACTGCGGAGTCCCAAAAGCAGTGAACGACTGACTCCTTCCGCAAATTCCACTACTTTTATAGTATTCTTCGGAAAGGTGTTACCTTTTCGAAGATACAGGGGGTTGAATTTGTCACCGCCTTAATTTGGCGGAGATAGCCGATGAGTATTCGGGACTGGCAAAGGTGGGTGTCACATGTAGGCAATAAGGTCCTTTCGGGACTCCGCTACCCGCGCGGTCGGAAAGACCTTGGCGGTATATAGCTGGCAGAAGTTGTAAAAAAAAGGACACATTTACGGAAACGGTTTCTTAAGGATGTTAACATAATTTGCTGTCTTACAAACGCCAGGTAGGTTTTATTACCTTAAAACCTAACATCTGCAAGCGGTCAGTTTTACCCTCGCGCATCTGCAAACCATATACCGCTACATCGATATTTATAGAAGATTTTCCATGTGTCCACCGCTCATTTCTGTACACAAAATTGAAAAAATGCAATTGCTGAAATTGTCGGTACTTAAATGGGAACATTCAGAACGCAATTTATAAACACTGACATAAACATCGCATGCGATGGAAGCAAGTAAGTCAATCATGATACTAGCAAACAAAAATGTTTATATCTCAGAAACGGTTGACCTTTGGACCTATGTTTACTAAAGCTTTTTTACTCAATACAATGTGCCCTATACACTATATAAATATTGAATGCTTTTTTTTTAACACCCTGTATAATATGAGGGTAAATATGTGAGTGTATCCGTGAATCCAACGGTTACGTGGGAACGCGCTGTGATTTGTTGTTTAATATAATTCGGAGTTCAGTTCGGTCGAAACAGTTGTAAGAGTCAGTCAATAAATAATACATTTGACAAACTGGAATACGTTTGAAATCATTAGATTCCTACAATATTATTAGTGTAATTTCTTTAACAGATGTCGTGGCCAATCGAAAGCTGTAGGAAATGGGGTTTCCCATTGAAAATTTTGAAATAAGTCCCTCTCCCGCCCCCAGAAGGTGGAGATGGGTGTCAATTATGGTGTTATTGAATAGCATTTTCGAAAATATCAAATACTTCTACTTTTATTTTTTTAATCTGATGTGTATTTCTCAAGATATCCCAAATTTTCAATAATTGTTTACCCATTTTGACTTTTGTCGATTACAGCGTCATTTGTAAACCAAAATGCAAAATCTGGTAGGCCAAATTGGGGTATTTTTTCCTGAAGAATCCAAATCTGTAATAAAAAATGAGGGTTTCCATTTAAGTTTTTTATCTTCCCCCACCCTTACCCACAAGGGAGTGGCGGTGTGGGTCGAGTTTGATATTATTGGATGTCTCCCTTGGGGACGAACAACTTTCATTACCCACTTTTTTTTATCCGATGCATAATTCTCGAGATATTTCAATGATCTCAGATAAATCATCCACCCTGTATAGGAGTTTATGATATAACGTAGGGTAATATAAATATAAATGTTCAATGTTAAAACAGAAAGAACGCAACTCACATTGTGGTATGAAACAGCGAAATGTTTTATATATAGCTGTTTTGACTAGATGGTAGTATAAAAAATGAATATAATGATTTATACATTATATAAAAAAAATAATTGTACTTTCCTTATAGATAAAGGAAATTAAAAAATATGTTTCACAAATTTTTTACTAACGCAGTGTATCTAGTAAAATGTGGGGAATACATGAATTTATAATGTAGTGAAGTATAAATATAAATGTTCAGATTCAAAAGAACAAAGTGCAGTTTACAAGTTTTGATTAGATGATAATGTAAAATATAAATAAAATAATTTATACATTACCTAAAAAGATAACCATATTTTCTCTACAGATTGTTCAATTTTATTTACAGCTGAAGATTGCTAAAGGTATGATCAAAAATATTCGTGACATAATGACAACTTCATAAATAATTTATTTAAACATGCCTACATTAGGTATCCAAATCCAATGGTTTCTAACTCGTCACTAATTTTATAAAATAGAACCATTTCATAAATGTTTCCAAAAATATATCGACTATCACACACCACCAATAATATTATTTCACTAAAAACAGGCATATAAGCAATACCAAACTATTGCCAAAAGTATGATCGAAAATATTCAGGACTTAATAGAGCCTCTTAAATAATTTATCTAAAATTCACCAATCAGTAATACAGTTTCATTAAAATCATGCATATGAACAATACTGTCTAAACAACTGATAAAGATTAACGCAGAATTAAAAAGATCGATGGAGAATCAAACGTGACGACTTCGTGTGGTGTCATTTTGGAATTTACCTATCCGATCGCAACAGTGGAAGGAAAAATCAGTATGAAAAACATTCCCAGACGATGTCGCAACCTGTTTAGCGAAACACACGTATGATGACGCAATCATCCGTGAAGCTTGGACCCGTATTCATCCCTTGTATTAAAGGGCCTCTGCCACGGCGGCGACAGAAGGGGGAGGAGGCGCGTGCCGGCATTTAGACGGGGCTCCTTCCGTGATTATTGAGTAAATTAACGTCCCGGTAATTGTGTTACCGACGCGTGTCCATTCATCCGTCCCGTCGTTCCCTCGATGGTGGTCCGCAATCCACCAGCAGCTCTCGATATCGACGGTAAAGCCAGAAATCCGTCCGCAAGCTCGACGCTACCTAAACTATCCCTTCCTGTGTTCCAGGCATCGACTACCGACGACAGCCGGGCCATACGAAATCTCTCGAGACTTGTTAGACGAAAAATTGAACCGTGATTGTCGGGATCTACGGGATGGTAATCGACGAGTTCTACGTACCCTAATTGACGCGATTCGGAGATGTTTTAAAGGATTTAGAAGAGGAAACTTTCAAAAGATTTCTTCTTGCATTTTGGCCTCGATAATATCTCGAGAGGGTAATCAGTTTTCTGGGTGAAAGAGATAGATTTTTTTGTTGCTTGGGACCTTTGAAATAATTCGACCAAATTGTATTAAAAATGGTTGAAAATTACCTTAGGACCTATGTTTCTCATAAATTATTTATTTGAGACTAATTAGCAAAAAAATAGGTACCTAAGCTGATATTTTAAAGAATAAAAAGAATATTTTTAGGGAATGTAATTAATAAGTAATTTATGTTTCTACGACTATTGTTGTATTACCTACTTTACACTTAATAACGCATCATTTACTAAATTAATACTTTTAATATCCAAACAATATTATTCCATCTTTTCACTAAAATAGTCAAGGGATTTGATCAAATCACTTACTTTCTTTAGGGAAATGACCTTACGGAGTTGTTATTTTAACATCTCCCGTGAATTGATCATCTACCTTAGGGATTTGATAAAATCTCTATTTTTATCATTTCCCTGCGACATATCGATATTTAATACTAAGTTTACGAAGCACGGTCATTTTCATCCATTTCAAATTTCACAAGGTTTTCCAGAAACCGTTTCTATTTTTCGCCAACCACTTATGCTGACTTTTATCCATATAAAAAGACGAGCATATATCCAAATTCATTTTTATTGGAGCCCCCTAATTAATTTTAGTATGTCGACTTCATTGCATTGTAAAGCATTACTTCAGTAATCGAAATATGATAAGAAATCTCCGTAAATCTAGAGTTAAAAACAAAATTTTAAAGCTCCACCTGGAAAAAATATACAGGGTGTCCCAAAAGTCGGGGAGGAGCCGGAAATGGGAGGTAGCTGAGACGATCCTGAACAACAATTTCCTTTGCAAAAATGTCGGATGGGGCTTCGTTAAGGAGATATTAAGAGAAAACCCCGACCAATCAGAGCGCGCGTAGACCGTTCGAGCGGCCGCGGTAGCGAAGGCTACGCGCTAGGCGGCAGCGTCAATGTCCTTCGATACACGTCGAGTCACTTGTTCGCGTAACAAGCTCGGCCGTCAGTGCGTAGCCTTCGCTGCCGCGGCCGCTCGAACGGTCTACGCGCGCTTTCATTGGTCGGGGTTTTCGCTTAATATCTCCTTAACGAAGCCCCATCCAACATTTTTGCAAAGGAAATTGTTATTCAGAATCGTCTCAGCTACCCCCCATTTCCGGCTCCTCCCCGACTTTTGGGACACCCTGTATACGAAGGAGGATGTTAAGAAATGCTTATTTTTGGAATCGCCTGGAAATGAAACATTCATGCAGGATCTTTTAGAGTGTCTCTTAAGGAACAAAAAATGTCCTTATCATTGTCCCGAGAATCGATGGGAAAGTTGTCAAAAATACGTTCAAAGTATGAATGTGATGATAACGGAACTTACGTATATTTTACATTTCGTCGTCTTCTTCTTCGGATATCGAACTGTCCTCGAAATATTTAACAACTATTTATACGTCCTGCGATTACTTCGACATTATATTGATATTTTATAATGAATTTCAATTCATTAACTTGTTCAACTGTTAATGGTTTCCGAGTTTCCACTACAGAGAATCGAAAGCCACGATCCGCAAGGAAAATATCATCCGGTTCAAAGTAACTTAATCGAGAGTATTGAAACGTCTTAAAAATGATTAATAAGAATCATGAATTGAAACTAATAAATCTTACTGACTAATAAATTAAGAGTAGTAATGGAACAAACTGGAAGTATATAATCATTATTACATAGGATTAAATAAAAGGTGTCAAAGAAAAGATCAGAGAAAGGAGATATTGTAACTAAAATGATCAGATCTGTTTTCTTTTTCGGCTCTGGGATTTAACTCTTGTTTATATCGTAACCTCTCATCGTTGCGACGTATCGGGAATGTGTTTATGGTGAGGATCAGTACCATCATACAATATTGATTTTGAAAAATACCAGATTAATGTGGAACCAATTAACGCCATTTTACTTCAAACGAAACTGCATTCACGACATTCAAATAGTTTAAAATACTTTGTGTATGTTCTAATTGATAAAAGTAAAACCGCACTGGAAGCCATACTTGCACACTCATGTGGATGCAAAGTCGAAATGTAAAATATACGTAAGTTCCGTTATCATCACATTCATACTTTGAACGTATTTTTGACAACTTTCCCATCGATTCTCGGGACAGTGATAAGGACATTTTTTGTTTCTTGAGAGACACTCTAAAAGATCCTGCATGAATGTTTAATTTCCAGGCGATTCCAAAAATAAGCATTTCTTAACACCCTCCTTTCTCATGCTTTATTCGATACTCATAATTTTGATTTCCATAAAGGCTCTATTCACGTGTGTTCCAACATCCGTCTGACGTTCAACGATGAATGTTTATATACTTTCACGGCGTCACTACCAACGAGTTATTAGTCATTTGTTCTTACTTGTCCCTCTGTTTATCGATCAGATATCATCGATGAAAATGGGAAAATGAAAATGGTCAGTTGTCCTCGGTGGTGGAGGTCCTCTTGTAGAAGGCGCGAGAGAAGCTCGCTGGTCCTGAAGAACTCCAGAAGAAGAATCCACGACGCCAAAGGAAGAAGATGATGAGGCAAACGGGAATGGCGAGGAGCACCCCGATCAACACTCCGATAAGGATCGCTGTGTCCTTCTCGGGCCTTGCTCCGTACAAATCGAGGCAACGGAGGTGTTTTTCAAACAACGATGAAAGATTCTTTCCTGCGTGCTCTGGCGGCGTTGCGCAAGTAAGTGCGTCAACGTTGTCGCCCATTAATTTCTTTCCCTGTTGTGGCAACATTTGGCCGATCTGTAACGAAATTGAATTCATTGAACAGCCTAGCCGGGAACGCTTATTACTGCGCGGGAGTCTCGATTATCGCATAAAAGTTTCCATTATTGCACTAGAGTCTCCTTTATTGCTGGGAATTGTTATTAATCAATAAATTTGGAGGAAAGTTTACAATCAACATTGTTGATTCGAATCATCGATTTCAAGAAAATTGATTTTTTTAGGATAGTGTTCCTCTTAACACGTTGGTCGCTGTCACCCACATATGGGTGACAGTGCTTTTCACTGAAGAACTAAACAAAATTAATTCTGAAAGTCAACCACCAAAGGGAATGAAATTAAATGAAATTCATGAATTTTTATGAAGTTACAAAAATAAATACGACGATCAATGTTTGATTATGCAATCTCCAGTAGTTTAAATAATATTTCATTTTAGCAGAAACTATTAAAAAGAATATTTGTCTGGCATTCAATGTGTTAAGCAGAATGTTAGTTACGAGTTATCGAGAAAATGGTTTTACAAAAGTTATATAGCACAGTAAGGAACATTATATGGAATAAATAATTTTGTTGTAGATGAAGAGGGTGATTTAAAAAACATATTAAATTTTTTAAATAGGACATCTTCTTAAACAAGAACCTGTATATTTGATCAAGTACGACTTCACGAAGATGTCTGCCCATTAGTCACAATTTCTACCCGAGTCTATATTTGTTATCATTTATGGTATGAGCTGGTTTAATTGATTGGATGTAGTTATACGATAGTAAGGTCAATGAAGAGCAAATAATGTAAAATCACCGTCAATATTGGTATATATTAACACAAGTAGAAGAAGTGAGTAATGGGCAGGGAGCTCGGGCCAGCTTCTCGCAGCTGAGCGCTTGCTACTCGGACGCTGTGGTTGGTCGGTACTTTTTCATTAACAATTCAAAAACGATGCACCATCCGCAGGGTCGCCACGTGGGTAAGAGGCGCCTGTGTTCAAGAAGAATTTAGCGCCCTTTTCCATGATACATGATTGGTTAATTACAACAAATATACATTATACATTATACAGGCCCCAAAAATGTTGTAACACCTTAAAAGGGGTGGTTCGGGAGGTGATTGGAAACAACTTTTTCTTTAACGAAAATGTTGTCCGAGGCTTCGTTAAACAGATATTAACAAAAAAAAACCCGACCAATCAGAGCGCGCGTATATCGTTGGAGCGGCCGCGGTAGCGAAGGCTATGCGCTAAGCGGCTGCGTCAATGTCCTTTGATGCACGTCGCACAGTGGTCCGGATGGCCGAAAACCTGACCAAAATGCGATTTTTGAAGTTTCGAACACACTTCTATCAATATTGTGCGTGTGCTGTATACATATGAGTGCATTAAGTGCCGTTTGAAATTTTAAAAAATAATAATCGGTTCCTGATATATAGAGATTCAAATTTAATGAAATTTCATGCTCCTTGATATCGTGAAAAGTGGTGCATGTTTATTGTGTCACAGAAAGTTTATCCTCAATAGATTCACATGTAAATCATTTTACCATAAAAGTACATGTTATAAACATAAACTTTCCACAAGAACAAAGGAAAATGTCTTTGGATTCACTATTGTAATTCCCTTCTCAATATGATATAAATTTTAGTTATCTTTCGATGAATCGGAAGGAAAACAAACATGATAGTCACCAAGTGACACGCTCTGCCAAGTTTCTTGATATAAAGTAACATGTCAGGTATGATATCCAATTGAGGAAACTTGCGCAAATTTGCGCCATTTTCCGTTATTTAAATTTAAAGTCCATGCTTATAAGGAAAAGAAGACTGTTTACGCGGCATTAAAACAAACCTTATTATCCTTAATTTTAATTTAACATTAATGTATTATTGTTAATTCTGCCAATGTATTCTAACTATGTTGCCCTATAAACCTAGAAATCCTATTTCATAAAAAATTCATAATAATTTAATATTTTTAATATACATGTCGACCATATTGGATCCGCCATTTTGAATTTTGCAATTCTGATACCAGATTCGTAATTTGCGTCCCAAATAATCCTAAAATACCAAGTTTCACGAAGATCCGAAAACTCCTAATTTTGGCCAGATTTTTTTTGGCCATCTGAACCACTGTGCTTCGTGTCACTTGTCGCGTACAAACGCGGCTGCTTGGCGCGCTCTGATTGGTCGAGTTTTTTTGTTAATATTTGCTTAACGAAGCCTCGGACATTTTCGCTAAGGAAAAAGTTGTTTCACATCACCTCTCGAACCACCCCTTTCAAGGAGTTATAACATTTGTGGTACACCCTGTATAATTATTTACATATTAACCCTCCGAGCTTTGGCTGCCACGAAATTTTCATTTAAATCACTAATATTTAATGTATCTTAAATGTCATTCTCAATAAATATAATTGAAAAATCAGTTAATCCTTCTTGGGTCATTGTAGAACGTAAATAGTTCTTAATAATTTTTAATTTGGAAAAACGCCTTTCTCCGGAAGCTACCGAAACAAGCAAAGTTAAATAAATTAAGTTTACCACTGCGTGGGAGTAAAAATTCAATGATTTCTGACAATTTCAGATAACTCTATTTTAACTTCCAAAATACCGACGATCGAGACTGTCAATATTACATACTATTTTCAAGCATTAACGATTTTGCAGACAACTTTTCGACAGTCGGACAAGCTAGCTCACCCCCGTCCGGTTCTTACCTCTCCCGAGTAGTTTGAGCTCTCGGTGATTGAATGATTCATTATACCTTAGTCGTAATGCATAAAAAGTGCAAAAATTCTTGTGGCGATATGGCGCCCTTTCGGAGAAGCGCCCCACAGTGGACGACGTCAGGACAAAAATCGATTTTCAATCTTTGTTGAAATGAGCGAAATCAATTACTTTATGTCTATTCAATACCCTAAAGTTTATGAAATACAAATAAAATGAGTTAAAAGTTATTAAATATAAGTTGGTATATATATTTAAGTATTGTCGTTAACGCTCATCCGTTCAGTTTCGTAGTATTTTTGTGTCTGTTCAAACTCCTCGTACACAGCTGAAGCTGCATGCAAAATTATCAAGAAATTTTCTTATATAGCTTTGTATAGACTGTATCGATCACAACATTTTAAATATTTTTTGAAATATGTATAATAATTATTTTCAAGTTTACTAATTGACCAGCGTATTAGTTCGATTTTGAATGAAAAAAGTAAATTTCCGATACGCAATTTAATGTGTGCCTGATTATGTCTGAACGAGACTATGGTAAATTTTGTCCATAAACTATCTTTAAAATGAAGAAACGAACCACGTTTGCCTATTTTTGCTTATTGAAAAGATATTAATAATGTAATACTGCATGTATGTTCATGTAACAGTTATTTGTTAATAACAATTTGTTATTAACAAATAAATATATTTAATGTTAAAATGGAATCCACTACTTGATGAGCGAAATACATACATTGTTGGAAAAACAAAGAATATTTAAAAAAACACAAAAAAACCTTTTCTTGGACTGGTACCTTGTCGCGATGAAAAGCCTTATAATTGCATCCATTTTCAAATATAATTAAAATAGCAATTAAACCGAATCCAGTCACTGTTTAATTCAAAGATAATGTTCAATATTAACAATCCAGAAATCGCCATACTAGATTCACTATTGCTAATTTCACAATTTCAATTTGATATTCAAAATAAGCGATCCTAAAAGCACACATTGGACTAGCAGTATTCAAATAATTTCATTCAGTATTCAGTACGTTATCTATTTTTGTCCACATCTTCCGGATTTGACCAGGTTGGATCAGTTATTTTGGATTCCACAATTCTGAATACAAATTCAGAATCAGCATCTCTAATAACTCATGTAGATCAATTTTGAAAAAAATCCATTCAGTTTTAATTTCTCGGTCCATCATATTGAATCGACCATTTTGAATGGTATCATTTTGATTCAAAATTTGGAATCTACGCCCAAAACAACCTAAAGATACCAATATTCTAAACATTTGCTGCAGAATTGACTGAAATATCGAATTTTGTCCATTTTATCCGGATTTCGCCCACTGTGGCGTGTGCGGTGCAAAACCTGCACAACCGTGGCGGCCTGATAATTCGACATTTTTGCAAAAGAAATTGTGGTTTGGAATCGTTTCAGCTACCCCCCATTTCTGATTCTTACACTAATTCTGAGACACTTCGTATACACGAAGTTTAGAAGCCAAACTACTTATTGGTCTTCTTGGAGACCTCATTCTTGTAACAGACCACAAGTGAACTTGATAATTGTTAGGTGTAGAAATGAATTCTGTGTATTTATTTTCCATTATTTATAATTCTAATTGAAATAGAAATATTTCAGGGTAAATGCAGCCGATCCTATAAATATTCGTACCCTTTATACCTATTGAACAAAATTTGTCTAAATTAAATAATAAATTTAATGTTCCTAAATAAATATTTCATTATAAATATGTACATGTATGAGGCATATTCATGCATATATTTATATAAAGAAAAATGTCTAAATTAAATGTGTAAATTAATAACATAAAATATTTAAATTAAATAATAAATTTAATGTTTCTAAATAAATATTTCATTATAAATATGTACATGTGTGAGGTATATTCATGTACATATTTATATAAAGAAAAATGTCATTGGAAACATCAAACCTGTCATTTTATGTAGAAAACTTTTTAAATAAATATAAAAAGTACCAATACTTATAGGACTGACTGTATGCATTAGGTTTATCAATGGCAAATGAACTAAATTGTGAAATTATCGATGTAAATTTCATAAATACTTAAAAATCTATAAGTTAACATGAATAAATCTATAAATTTCACAAGTACTTGAACATCTGTGCTCTACAAAAAAAAAACAGTTTTTTTCCGTAGAACCACCTTAAATTAACCTTTCTCCCAGCGAAACTCTAAAATCAAGGAAACGGATTCGCAAATTGACGCGCAGCTTGTAAATCAAATCGATCTGTTCAATACGACATTTTTGCCCCGCCTCCCTTCACCCCTCGATTCAGATAGGCGTACACGTAATATTTCGTTATTGCCAGAACTTACCAGATATTGATTATTGCAATCGCAGCTCCATTTGTTGTTCGTCAGATCCAATTTTTCAAGGAGGTCCCACCTTAGGAGGAGGTACTGAGGCAAATATTGCAGGGCGTTATCCGATAAAACGAGTTCCTTTAGTGGCGGCCACATGGGCTCATTAGACTCCGTCTACAATCACAGCAAGCACAATACATTTTTTCAAGCTGCTCTTTCTGTTGAACGCCAATTTATCGCTTGGCGCTATTTCAACGCGAAAAGATCAATCGAAAAGGGGATCTCGACAATACCCTTTTATATTGTAAATCGCGATGCCAATTCGATTTGATGAAAAATATTAAATATACGAAGAAGCACGTCTCCCTTGTATTTGTTAGGTTTAATTAATGCCAGTCGCTTTTTGCGCGTTTTCATGCTTGGAAGCTTATTGCTGGAATGCTCGAGGGGATGAATTTTTTTATTAAAAATGGATAATAAAAACGAGAATGGGAAATTAAGTTGTTATTAGACAACTATTGTACATCAGGTGTTATAGTTGAGTTATTCGACTTCTTACACTTGTATTAGGTGTAGAAATTAATTACGTGCCTTTATATTTAATAGTTAATAACTTAGTTTAAGTAAAAATATTTATTCGACATTTTGTTACGTTAAATTACTAACCTTCTAAGTTTTCAACCCGATTTCCACTATAATGAATCTATTTATATGTTCATATATTAAGGACAGAAATTAATTATTTGCCTTTCTAAGGTAAACTTACCATTTATTTATAAAGAAAAATCATACAACTTTTAATTTTTCGTCATACATTCCAATTACATTACTATGAAGGTTGGTACCCTGACATGACAAAATGGCCAGTAAATATTTTTATATGAACTAGAGTTATAAATAATTAAGTGAATGTAAAGACGCAGAATTAATTACTACACCCATTAAATAAAACTCGCTCACTTAATTAACACTAAAATTACCGACTTCAGTGTTTACCTAACTATAATATTTACAACTATATCTTTGTAATTAGAGAAAGGAAGATCAAACTGATACAGCAATCAAATTAATACTCTGTTACAAAAATTGTCCTTAAGTATTGCAGTAAAATAATTGTTAATGATTGAGTGACTTTTGAAGAAAGTTTGAAGTACAAAGATCAAATTGACCAGTTTGTGACAGGTTCAGTGTTAATGTAATAATATTACCGTTTCAGTTTGCATAAATGTATACCCCTTTTGATTACGTTTCGCTCCCACTATCAAATACCACGGAAACATTTTTCTTTTAATTTCTAATCACTTATCAGATAAATACCTGGTAATTCAGAGCGAATTCGTGGATTACTTGTAAGTTGGGGCAATTTTGTATTCGGAGAGTTTCCAGCGAATCCAAACCTAAAAAGCTGCCAGATCCGATCGCTGTCAAATGAGGCATGCAGCAGAAGCTCAATTCCTTCAGCTTCGTCATATTAGGAAAAGGGTGTGAATTGTTGATAATTTTAATTGGATTTTCGTCCATATATAGGTACTCCAACGCGATAGCATCGCCAAGTGCGACTGGCGGGATCATGATCCGATTGCCACTCAAATTTAATTTTTTCAGGTACCTAAACATTTCACATAGAAAGATTGTTGAAGATGTTAACGTCATGTTCGTTCCATTTTCTGTTATAGATTTCTGCGTATAATTAACACTGAAACTACCAAAGCGGTCAATTTCATCCATGTACTTAAAAGTTAATTCTAAAGGCACTTAATTATTAATAATCATTTTATAACAATTTTTGGGGATAATCATTGGAACAGAGGACGTTTTAATTGATATTTCATTTGCCTCTCTAGCTTCTATAATCATTATATGTATATAATTGCATAGATGTAGTTGTATGTATAATTTATATTAGCCAACCTTGGTAGCTTCAGTGTTCAATAAATTGTAGAAAAATAACAAAAATGAGGAAGCGACTCTCTTGCAATTTATTTAGTTCTGTACAGAAGTATATTTTGTAGAACTTATTTATGTACAGAATTGCACTTTGTATAAAAAAAACATTTCTATATGTAATTTCATTCATTATAATTTCAGCGAAAAGAGCATCTAGTCGAGTTAAATGTGTCTCTTTCCTTCCCCAGGAACAACTGTAAGAGTTCTTTCACACGACGATACGCATATCGCGATACGCGTATGCAGGATACCGATGGTACACATAATGTTATGGAAGCGTAAAGACGGCGATTCTCGCGAGATACAGTATCGCGATACTGATTTTCGGTATCCGCGGTTGGTCGGCCGCCGGTAACTTTTTCTGCGTTGGGGGGGGGGGGGGCCGACAAAAAATTGAAAGAGATGCGAGCATTCACGCGACGCTGCGCAGTATCGTCGAATTCGTTCACCTTCCTCATAAAAAAATTTTAGACATAATAATTGAAGAATTTACATGAATCGTTACAAAGTTCTTCGAATAAAATATGAAAAGCTCCCGTTTCTTCTCTTATATTATTAATAGGATGAACCCAATATTTTCTCTTAACTTTTCTCCTTTTAGTAGCTTTTTTATGTAGAAACCAAATGGATAAGGCTTCAATCTCATCCATTATTTCAGAAAGATTTTCACTAACTAAGAACGCGTGTTTCTCAAACGAGAAGATATGTTTAACTGAAAAACAAATGATCAACAGCGTGCTACGAAATTAGTTGGATACAGTATCGCATAAGTATGTTGCTAGCAGGTACGTATCGCATACGCGTATTGCGATACACGTATCGTCGTGTGAAAGAGCTCTAAGTAATCCTCTACGATATCTAAGCCTCTTATCAGCGTACTCCGATCAATCGACTCAGGTTCAAAACAGAAAAAGTATTAATTTTCACCATTTTCTGTGCAACTTTTTGCAATTAAGAACATATAATTGGGATAGTACAGAACTGGGATAGTACAGGGTGTCCCATAAATATTGTAACACCTTGAACGGGATGGTTCGGGAGGTGATTTGAAACAACTTTTTCCTTAGCGAAAATATTGTCCGAGGCTTCGTTAAGGAGATATTAAAAGAAAATCCCGACCAATCAGAGAGCGAGGATGCTGGTGGAGCGGCTGTGGTAGCGATGGGTAAGCGGCCGCGCTCGTACGGGAACAAGTGACTCGACTTGTATCCAAGGATATTGGCACCACAGCCGCACCAACGGTATACGCACGCTCTGATTGGTCAGGGTTTTCTGTTAATATCTCCTTAACGAAGTCTCGGACAACATTTTCGCTAAGGAAAAAATTGTTTCAAATCACCCCCCAAACCACCCCTTTCAAGGTGTTACAACATTTTTGGAACACCCTGTATATCTTCCGTGAATTGATCATCTACCTTAAGGATTTGATCAAATCTCCATTTTTATCAGCTCCCTTCGACATCTACATCGGAATCCAGTAATGAAATAAAGTCCGGAGCGCCGCGCAAGAGAACGAAATTTTTAAATTCGTCAAATGAATTTTTGTTAAATATCTTCTTATAGAGAATGACAAGACAAATTCTTTTTATATTCACAGTTTATTCATTTGACATTAAATTTAAAAAATAAAAATTGAAAACACCTTGCTGCACCTTGCTGCTTGTATCATTATCATTGACGACGACGCGCGATCTTATAACTTATACTCTATTTTAGTAAATTGTATACAAATCGGTTTGCAAATTTTTGAAGAACTTCTTCGAACATTAAGGAACAATTGTCTCACTGGAAGGTGTTTCGAACGCAAACATATATTCAAATATCGCTACTACGTTCTTGTTCAAAATTTCGAAGATTTTCAATGACATTCGGCCAAGTTACAGCGATTTATACCAGGTGAATCACGAGAAACAAAACACCTAATTATCTCAGTTCAACTTAAAGATAGAAGAAAATGTTAGAGGAAAAAGTTGTACTGTTTAAGGGGGCAAATACGAGGATATAAAAAAAATTTCCGAATTTTGTAACTTTCAAGGTTCTTTGAAGGTCATAATGTAACATATCGTTGTACTCGTATTGGCGTCAGCTGCAATCCTATGATGTTGAATATATAGGACGTAATCCAAAAGTTACCGATGATCTTCAAAAAACCTTGAAAATTACAAAATTCGGAAATTTTTTTTATATCCTCATTTTTACTCCCTTAAACGGTACTTTACTTAAACTTTTTCCTCTAATATTTTCTTCTATTTTTAAGTCGACCTCAGATAATTAGGTGTTCCGTTTCTCGTAAATCACCCGGTAAATTAAAATCAAATTAAATTTCGGGCAAAAGAACTTTTAAGTTTTCATCTTTTATTTTTGAAACTAAACGCCGGATGAATAAACTGTAAATATAAAAAGTTTCGTCTTGTCATTCTCTATAAGGAGATATTTATGAAAAATTGATTTGACGAATTTAAAAATTTTGTCGGGGTATTTATGTAAATTACGATCGCGAGCCTGACACTAGTATGCCCCGTAGAACTTCCAGCAAAAATCGTCCCACGATCAAAGGGATATTCAAAGTATTCAAATAAAGTAAACGTATATAAAGTTTGAAAACGATCGGTCAATTAGTTTTTGAATTATCATTCCCACTGATCGAAAAAATCTTGTTTAAAAATGCAAACGCGATATTTCAACGATTTCTGTGTGAAATGAATTTAAAAAATTTCCAAATGTACTTTAGAACATACCTAAAATATTTTCAAAGTTATAAGAACATTAAATCCATTCTTCTCTATAAAAAATAATATCGCAAAAAACACTTAATACTTGGACTCCTAATGTGGGTTCCCCCCTTGAACAAAAGTAGCAACTTATTAGTATCCTGAGAATCTTTATGCAAAATAAAATCCTTGCAATCGTACCTACAAAAATTAAATCTAAATTTAATTTATTTTACTCTGCAAATATTGTATCAACTCTACTTTCAATATTTTTTTATATTATTGCATACTGTGTGCGTTTTGTAGTTTCTTGCACATTTAAATTCCACAATCTACTTATTAGTACTGTTCTTACCTGGTGGTATGAAATAGAGTCTCTGGTATTTGTTTCAAATCACAGTAGCTCAAGTCCAATTCCTCTAATTGTCGAATGGAGCTGATTGCTAAACTAGTGCTATAGTCGATTTGCGCGAACAAGTTGTGAGACATATTTAGTACTCTCAAGTTCGACATGTGCTCGAAGAGGTCCTGATGGAACGAATGGATCTTGTTGTAAGCCACCGTTAAGATTGTCAGATTCTCTAGTGGTTCGTAAGCCTCTCGTGAAAATTTACCCTGAAATGCGAAGGAATTTCTAAAGTCGAATTCGTATTCTAATCTAAAGTTAATAAGTTAATAAGTTTGATTGATGAACGCAATTTATTTGCTGACCCGAGTTGACTGAACATTTTGTTGTTGACTATGCGAGTAAAAAAACTGTATTCATTTTAATCAAGTATTCTTAACTCTACTCGATTGGCACGAGAGTTTACTTCATTTCAAATTTCGAGCTACGTGAATAATTTATTTAAATACTCGAAAAACTTCAAACCAAGATGACTAGTATCTGAATTATTTATTGCATTTCACCTTCTCACTGCTGAATTAATTAGTGATTAATCCCAGGATTTATTTTTTAATTATTGTACTTATAAATATATTAGTTTGTCTGGAAAGTCCGTGCCGATTTTTGGTAGGTGGTACACGTCTGTTTATATTGGAATGATTAAAAACAATTAACACGTGTCCGTCCCTTAAAAGGTGGAAAGGTTGTGAAACAAAATGGTATTCATATAATTCAATAAATATATATCAAAATTCAAATGTGCCTTTGAATTTTTCTTAAAAATTGGCACGAACTTTCTGGACAACCCAATACTATACATCGATGAATGCAATAACAAAATAATAGTTAAGATAAGCAATTCTTACAGAATTAGTCACAAAATCCAAAAAGTGGGTACAACTTGAACATCTTCAATAGTCCAAGGTTAATACTAATTAAAATACAAGATTTATTTTTTATTTTGGCTTTTTTTTTATTTAAATATGTTTGTGTATAGTATAATTCAACGTTACCTCAAACACTTTCGGATTCAGGCTCTCGCTAGTAAGCTTATTATGACTCAAATCTAATTCGGTGAGATTAATTATCTGCTTGAAGGCGGCGTCGTCGATTTTTGTGATTTTGTTCCCTTGCAGAATTAATCTGTTAATCGTACTAATTGGAAAAGGTGTGATGTGTTCTATCAAGTTTCCCTTAAACGATGCCACTTTGCTAACTTTAGCATTCCATTGCCATCTGGTGAAAATGGCTGTCATATTCCTGTCATCGCAGTTTATCTCACCCGCTACGAAACAGGTAATTCATTTTCAAACTTATGTTATGTTAAAATTCCCAGTTTCATATCAAATTAAAAATAAATAACTTCTGGTATATTCCTTGTTTGACAAAAATTAAAATCTAAATTATGCAATGAAATTACTGATATATATTATACTTATAATGATACACCATACAAATAAATATAATTTTTATTCGTCATGTAATATTCGAATAAAATTCTGTTCTACTCGGTTCTCTGTTACATCGAGGAATTTTCACAGATTTGATTGTGTAATTTGTATAAATTTTTCTATGATGAATTTTCATGTATCGACTTCATTGTTAACGTTTGTGGTGTATTCGAATACCTCATACCTTTCGTGCAATTGCATACTTGGCATATGCGCGGAGATTTAGATTCAGGTGATTCAGTTGCATTTGTGTCAATTGCTTCATCGTCTTTGGTCTCTAGAATCACTTTCTTGCTATTTGCATCGGTTGCATTTTCGATGTTATCTTCGCACTTTATCATTGTAAACGCGAATAAAACGAGAAATAATAGTCGACGATCCATGGTTCATTGAGAAATGAGTAACCGTGGAACCTCACACGAAGAACTAAAATCGGTATTCTTGTATCAAGCCGGCTATTCCTGATAAGAATCCATTGATAAGATACCGTTGGTTCTCGTTACTCATCGTTCTGAGCAGGTTAATACGTAATCCCTTTTGCGACTAACTCGTTTCTCTTTTCTAACCGACTTCGAAAAGGAGGAGGTTACTCAATTCGACATGTATATATAATTTTTTGTTTTTTAAGTGTTTGTTCACCGATTACGCCGAGATAGCTTCTCCAATCGGAATTAAACCTCTTGCATTTTGTAGAGTATGTCCCCCAGGTGGTCCCGTATCAAGACATTTCGAGATTTGTCATTTTTTGCCTGCTCTTTTTTATGTAAAAAACCGGCAAATTTTGTACTGCTTCTTACTCCGAAACGGTTGGACCAACAAGATTGAAATTTCTTGTATCTGGTAAGATATCGCTGGTATTTGCTCCCATAAAAAAAATTTGGCCTTGTTTTATTTTTTACCATTTTATATCACTTTTTATTGCAAAAAGTACTATTTTTCCACGTATGTTCGAGCTGAAATCGATGAAATCGTTGAAACCCCTCACATTTTGCTGCCGGCCAGGTTTTCGCGATGATTACGTTTGCAAAAATCTATGGATTCTTTTTATCGTTTATAAACTATTGTTATTGCAAAATTTCTATTTTTGTATGTAACTAGGTAAGAAATTAACCGATCGCGATGAAGCCTTCCGCATTTAATGACAGATGATTTCATGACGTTCGCATTTGGAAAAATTGATGGACTTTATAAGTATTTAAATCAATTGTTACTGCAAAATTTCTATTCATTGATGTAACTCGACAAAAAATTAACTGACTGCGATGAAACCTTCTACATATAATGACAGATGATTTTATGATGTTCCTTTTTGGAAAAATTGGTTAATTTCTTAATGTTTATAACATTAATTTAATCCGAACCACCCCTTTCAAGGAGCTCCAACATTTGGGACAACCTGTACATTGCTCATAACTATTGTTATTGCATATATCTATTGAAACCTTCCTTGCTTATGTCTATTGATTATTAGGTTAGTAGATTGCCACTAAAAAGGGTGAAATAAAATAATTTTCAGAAAAAAAAATATAACCGACTTCGAAAAAATATTAAAACTGCACTAAAAAGTATGAAATAATTTCTAAGTAAATTGATATGAATACTCACCAGTTCTAGATATAATTACTTAAAAGTATAAAATAATTTCTATTCTCTTTATTTTAAATTATATTGAATAATATATTAAAGTTCTATTTCCTTTATATTAAATTATGTTAAATAACTTTTTCGTAGTTGGCGCAAAATTAAAAATTACTTACATTCAAAAGTACCAAATGTGGTTTAACTTTCTGTTGGAGGGACTAAACATACACCCTTAAGTTATTACTATCATTATATCTACTTTAGACATCATATACATTAACATTATTCAATATCGCCACTTCCACCAAATATTATCCCAAACCTACTCGGACAGTATTTTCATACAGAGAGTATATACATTAGCAGTAATCAATATTTCTACCCTCAGCCCCCGCAAAAAAGAATGCCCCAAACCTACTGAGACAGTATTTTCATGTAGATTGTATATGCATTAACTGTATTCAATATTGCCCCCTACCCTCCCCGCATCACCAAAACAAATACATCAAACCCTCTCAGACAGTGTTTACACGTAGACAGTATACAATATACATGTATACATTACACCCTCACCAAAAACTAACTCAAGCAGGAATTAAAAATTTTTAATTTTGCGCCAAATACGAAAAGGTTATTTAACATAATTTAATATAAAGGAAATAGAAATTATTTCATACTTTTTTGTGCAGTTTTATTTTTTGTTCGAAGTCGGTTATATTTTTTTTCAAAAATTATTTTATTAAATAGAAAACTCTGTATTGTTAGACACGTTTTCTTTTATTCGATAAAGATTATCTATAATACAAAAGTATACAAATTATAGAAGAACCTTGGCTTGAAGTACTCTGATATTCATGAATTTTGAATTTAAAAGGTAGAATCTCTGGTTTTATATGAACACCCAAGGTTCTTCCCTGTACTATTTTTTAATTGGATCATTTTCCTTGTATACTTCCTGGAAGTCTATGGCACTTTAATCTAGCACTTCAGCAAGTTATGTCAATGATTCATCGATGTACAATACTCATCGAGTAACGATGAAATATGATTAAGTAAATATCTCCGCTCCAAATAAAATGAATAATAAATTTAGAGATAAAAACAAGAGTAAAATTGACAAACAATTTGCTTGTCTACATATATTTCTTACTCCATGATGTGTAGGTACTGTGTTGTAAGAGTCTTTCTATGAAAATTGATTTAAGAGTTGGGTTTAAGAAAATTGGATACCCTCTGATCGAACTGATTTTTTTATCATAGATAGCCCTTGCAACAATGGTGGTCATCTTGACCCCTAACTCCCCTCTTTCCCTTAAGGTGTCAAAAATTGGAATCGTTCGAAAAGTGGTTTTTTGCACCGAACTTGGTAAGTACGTCATTTCCAACTTTTTTTGGGGGGTCAAGGGTCAAGAGGACCACCATTGTAATCGTCAGGTTAAGAGCTACGTTAAGAGATCGAAGGATACCCCATTTTCTTAAACTCCACCAAACTTCTTAAAATCTTAAGCATAAATTAACAAAATTAAAAATATTCACTGCTTAAGGGGGTATCCTGAATTAGGAGATCTAAAAAAAGCGGTTTTTCGTGAATTTTTTTAGGATGGAAACAAATAATTAATTCTATCGAAATTTTTATCCTATTTTCATACATATTTGAGTAGTCTGTACAAATTTTTTCAACAAGAAATATTCAAATCGAGTCGACTGTGACGCACATTTGTAGAGCATCTCACAATTTAAAACCTCCTATTGGCGGGAAAGATGCAGATCGTAATTTTGGTTTGATACAAAAAAGCCAAAAAGATTTTCATTTTCATACATGTTTCTTTTATCTGAACTAAGAAAAACCCGCAAAAATGGTGAAATGTGAAATTACTGCAATTTTGAAAAAAAGAACGAATTATTTGGGTGAAAAAAATCACTTTTTAACTTGATAAAAAAGTTGTTTAAAATATTTTTGGTATGAATTTTCTTAGTTCACATAGAAGAAAAATGTATGAAAATGAAAATTTCTTTTGGTTTTTTTGTATCAAACCAAAATTACGACCTGGATCTTTCTCGCCGATAGGAGGTTTTAATTGCGAGGTGCTCTATAAGTGTGCCGTCACAGTCGACTCAATTTGAATATTTCTTGTTGAAAAAATTTGTACAGACTACTCAAATATGTATGAAAATAGGATAAAATGTTCGATAGAATTAATTGTTTTGTTACATCCTAAAAAAAACACGAAAAACCGCTTTTTTAGACCTCCTAATTCAGGATACACCCTTAAAATTGAAAAAGTAACGCCCATAAAGCGACACAAGAAAAATGTAATGCACCATCAAAATGTAGATACAAACAATTATTATTAAAACTTCTCAAAACCTTAAGTACAGGGTTATCCAAAATACTCTACAGGAAGTTTTTTTTACATAAAATAGATACTCTGTTTAATTTTAATATTTTTTTTATTTAATTATCAGGTATTATCTATGACAATTATGTATGTAAAACGATATCCATCAAATGACCACCACGACCATATTTACAGACATCAATTCGAAAATCAAAATTTTCGATAAAATTTTGGCATATTTGCTCGTTTTAATCACCAATTTCATTTCTAATGTTATTTTTCAAGTCATCAATTGTTGCTGGTTTGCTGGCATAAACTTTACTTTTCAAATAACCCCAAAGGAACAAATCCAATGGGGTCAATTTGTTATTGAACACTGATTTTCAAAATAAATTTTAATCACTTTAACACACTTTGCAATCGCATACGATTCCATAGTTAAAATTGTCTATTATTTTAGGTTAGAAATAGAAAAAAGTGACAATAAACAAACATGGCGTTTGGTAGATGTTCTCATTCAACATCCTATAGGTACTTTTGGATAACCCTGTATGAAACATCGAGAGTAAAAATGTTTACTGTTTGAAATTGAAACAGTTATAGGGCGGTATTCACAGTCGCAACTTATGTCTAAGCTGTCAGATTCACAGTCGTCGAATAAGTAACGCCTTTAAGCATCGACTTAAGCATTTCCTTTTGAAAGCAATTGCTGTCTATTCTAGATTCACAGTCGATTCTTAAGAAAGTCTTAAGTTCTTATGAATTCATAGTCGAATAAGTTCGCTTTATTAATTGAAAACGTGTTCTTAGTTCGCTTAATTGAGGTTACATTTTTGAGTCAACAGTATACATGACTTAAGCACGCGTGCGAAAATAAAGACGAAAATAGCGGCTCCGTAACTCCTCTTCCTTTCTTAAAAAATACGAAATGGAGCTGTATGTATAAAAAAACAAAACAAAACAAAAATATATATATAATAAAAAAATAATATTGTATATTCCTAATGTTATTATACTTTTTTTTATATTATACAATAAATGTCCTTCTTTTATATGCATATTGCCAGTTTTGTTTCTTCTTAATTATTTACGACTATTTTACCATCCAACGAGGGACGCATAGCCCGTATATGTAAACAATGGATATCGTCTAAGAAATAATGAACTTTTATGGAAAATATTATGATATCAATTACAAAATTGTTGACCGTAGTTGCCTCCCTATCGTATGCATAGCTGGTATTTTTGTTTCTATTTAATTATTTGACCATGTTCCAGGAATCCGGCAGTTTTTAAACTTTTACATATGGTAGCTAAATAACCGATCATCATTCCTGATTTTTTTGCAGATATTACTCACAGGGTTGTTTATAATTACCACTCGCAAAAAATGAATTATTTACTTTCTACCCGTAATAATTGATTAGCAATAAACAAAAAAATATATAAGGACAAATGTTCAATTCAGGACGGGGACGAATAAGATACATAAATAATG